TTTTACTCCATGGGAATGACGGGAAGGAAGGGTAGTATTGAAGGCTGCTTTTGAATGGGTTTGGATGAAATCTCCGGCCGAGTTAGGCAGGTGTCAGATTTAATTTGAACCTTGAAGGCATTGGAACGCAACGGCCCTGGATAGGGCCGCCCGTCTTGAGTAAAACCGTTTGCTGTCGTTTGGTTGGCACGTGCCAGATGCTACATTGAATAGTTACCTATACTAATGTGGTAGGATTTAGAAGCTTTTTTATTTTTAGTAGGCAGAATATTTCAAGCATTTGCTAAGCCTATGTGGCTTTTTCGGGTGATGGTGCTTGGTTTCAATTTATATGTACATATCTGATTTGGGTATGAAGTATATATATAATACATAACACCGGTAAACATATGATATAAATAGCAGTAAATTTACTATTAACGGAACTGGAATAACAATGGATATGAGAACGTGAATAGTTAATTGGGATAAGATATACTACTGCTACTTTCTGGTAATTCTTTACGTGATTTAATATATATCCGTCTTTATATGTTGCTCTATCTACATCAAATTACAATGGGTGATGTTCAGTCAAGAGTCAAGCCCAACCCAAAGGCAAAAGAGGAAAAAAAAAAGAGACTCTAACATACAGAAAGCGAGTAGAGAAATAAAATCTAGTGAAAATATTCCATTCATAATCTACTACATATATCCTTAGCAGAATCATTCCTATTGTAGACTTCACGTGTATCCTGTCGGCCTGAGGCCATTTAACAGGCAAACAATTCATGCCTGAATCAACCCAGGCATTCTAAGTCCCAACCACCCTTAACACCTACAGTCACTCACCACAAGTGACCCTCTCGCCAGGTATATTAGCAAAAGTGAGGGCACAAAGTGATCTAAAACACTGTGAGCGAGGGAAGAGGTTGACCCCGAATTCAGGATGGACCAAATCGCTGCCCAATCAAACCAAAACAAACCAAAGAAATCCGAGTTAGGCTCGACGCACGGGTTCATACCTTGTCACAGAATGCGGATCCTTTTTCCCCCCCTGGAATTGAGAGACGGGATTTGCTTGTCTTGGAAATTAGGGTGGCAAGACAGAGGCTGACGATCAATGCCTGTGGCTGGAACCTAGAAGGTATTTGGCTGGGGTCCATTTAGTCAAGGGATAGAGAGATAGGCTCCTGAGGCCGCGTAAAAGATAAATGAATAGCACTCATAATGTCGGTGTGGAATCTTAATGAATATAGGAAATTGTAACGATCGTTGCTTTTTTTTTTTTTTTTTTTTGGATTGAAGAATGTAACGTAAGCTGGTAGAGCGGTCTACATACTAGGCATCGGGGTTTAGTCGGGGATACTGGTGAATCTTCAGGTTCTCTAGGCAACCTGTGATCTTGCATTGATGCACCACGGCGGGTGTAATGCACGAGACGACTTTAGCTTATGTAAGGAGCTTTAACTACTGGTTTCGTTGTTTTTGTTATTGTCGGTGGACGGTCGGTGTTGGATAGAGTATAGAAACTTGGAAGACAGATTTTAGCGCTGGGCGAATGAACTAGAGAATACGGAGTACAAACAGGCTGTTAGGTGCTTCAATTTATACGATGAAATAATCTTACTGGTTGTATCACGTATGTAATCTCGTTTCTACGGTGGTATGATAGCAATTATACTAGTTATTTTATGTATGGTCACTTTGTATAATGCTATCAGAAGTATCAACACCATAATCAGTAGCACTTTTACATTTAGAAGAATATATGGTAGCAATGATATCACACTCTGGTGTTCAATGTGATCAAGTAGGATGTAATTTTCTTCTTTTATGGAAGGAGGATAATATTTAGAAGCTATATTCATGTAAGTGATTATTCTGTATAGTTATTACTACAACATATAGCCATTGATGTATATACCCCAAAATATATATATTCTCATGTCACTAACAATACTAACTACACAACCAATCTATATAGCAGAGTCAAGATAATATGTATTATTCCGGATACAATTGTACCTCATACACTACTTGCATCAAGTTTACAGCAACTTCCTCATGATGGCTGCGCTGGCAAGTCATAGACTCATAGTCTTAGAGGTCCATGGCCTGGTCACTATACTACCTAGTACTACCAGTAGAGCCCAGATGCCTACTGGAAACGCATCTACGGCCTCAGGAGCACAAGCCCGGGCATGCTTATTGGCCAGCCAGAGACCCAAAACCAGCAAAGGCCATAGTTACATGTACAATTTCGTGACCCAACCGGCTCTTACCAAATACGGGCGACAGACTCAACTAGGTGACATCAGAACTGGGAATGAGACATTCCAGTCATTCCCTTTTCATACTCCCGAAATGAGTGTCTGAGGGACAGTAAGTTGACCATGGCTAGGCCGTGTGTCATTAAACAATGTCTGAGTCGGGTTAACCCGGCGGAATCCCTATGAAAGACAGAAAAAAAAAAGAATAAATAAACTTAGAACGTGTGGTATTAGAGTTCCGAACAGTCGATCAGCAGATAGGTAGTGAAACCAGTGACAGAGGTTATGGAAGTTCCTTGATTGCGGAAATTATACAGCAACTAGTGCGGTAACCCCTTGCCTGTACCCCTTGCCCACATGGGCGTTGAGGAGGAGGTGAGCCGTGGATACCGGAAGGGGGGAACCAATGAATTTGAGGATCTTTGTAGCCCAGATCATGCCTTGCAAATGCCCTGCAACTTTAGTAGCGACTTTAATTCTCGGGTATGGCTGTCGCATACCGCACGAGCCCCATCGGAAGATAGTTACGGGCCTACGGTACGAGGTATACCATCACTTGGTCATGAGATGGGGGTTAACAAGTAGTGTGAGTGTTGTGCCTCGTCCAGATTGCCTTCGAGATTGCCTTGTGTCAATGTCATGTGTCATTGGTAGGCATATTTTCCTAGTTTCGAAGTATAACTTAATGTAACGTAAACGGCTCACTCGAGGGGGATCTACAGGTTGCATAGCGTTCCACGGGTTGAAGACAGGAGGAATGAGACACGGTCGTGCGTGCAACGCAAGATGAAAGTTGTGTCCTGCACAGCTGTGGTATGCTGCAGGACTGGCATCCTGCTACCCAAGCAAGCATAGGGCAATTGTTTGGTCGATCCATACCGATGACTGGGGGAGACGTCTTCGGGCCCAAGGATCTACCCTACTACAGGGGAAACAGTGTCATAGATGAGGGCCATTCCTTGCGTGTTGCATTCCTGGAGTGGCGACAAGCCTCACTTTCCTTCGAAAACATCGTGGTCGAGTGCGAAGAAGCGCCTTGAAGGTAGGTCACAGACCACCAGATTTGTCTATATAAGGAGTCGCCTTCCTCGACCAAATCTGTTCTTCATCAACACAATCAATTCACTCTCATTCTCTCTTCACAGTTCAGTCTTCTCTAAGACAAGCTTCTCTTTAAAAACATCTCCGAGTCTTCTCTCGTTCAAAACCAAAACCACCGTCACAATGCAGTTCTCTGTCGCCACCGTTCTTGCTCTGGCTACCGCCGTTGCAGCTCTTCCTCCTGCCTCTGGCACTGGTGCTGGACAGGAAGTTGGACACGCCAAGAACCAGTACAATCTTCCGAAGGACTTGACCACCAAGCAGGCCGCCGAGAAGTGTGGAAGCAATGCTGAGCTTAAGTGCTGCAACAAGCAAGTCAAGACTGGTGACTTCACCAAGGTCGAGGAGGGTCTCCTTAACGGTCTCCTTGACAGCCTCGCCGGTGGTGGCCAGGGCTCTGAGGGTCTTGCACTTTTGGATCAGTGCACAAACATCCCCGTCAATGTTCTCGCTAGTGAGTATGACCCGAGATGGGCTATTGTTAACAGTATACTAACCGATCTCAGTCCCCATCATCCAGCCTCAGGAGCAGTGCAAGCAGCCCATTTCCTGCTGCCAGAACACCAAGTCCAGCGCCGTAAGTTCCCTCCTCATACAACCTACACGACCTTTACTAACTAGCACAGGATGGCGACCTCATTGGTGTTGGCCTTCCTTGCATCGCTATCAGCTCTCTTCTGTAAGCGATGATATACGCGAAGTTGGTAGCTCGAGCGTGGCATGGATATGGGAATATGAAGTATTCCTATACTTTCATTCAGTGTCCTTCACTGGCCGCTTGTGTCCTGGAACCCTTGGAGCGAGAAGACTGTTCTGTTTCCTTTCTGAATCTCTCTGTGCAGCCTGTTCCAGCATTACAACTGGAAATAGTTTATGGCTAGCCGACTTAATACATAGATTTTGCATCAGCTTCTAAGTTTTCTCTGTCACTTGTAGTCTCGTAGTTTATCCTTCCTTTTTTAATCATTCTTCAGTCACCCTCTCCATCATCTGTATCATTTGATCCACTATATTACTTCTTCGCTTTGATTGTATAACTGTTCAAAATAGCACCTATTATATCATTGACGGAACATCGCTGTACTAGTATCATACCTTTGTCTACTGTTTATAGCACGCTTTACTTATACAATCCTTTACTCTACGATCCCCTCATCGCCTAAACTGGGTAGACTACCTGTATAGTAATACTCGCTGCCCAAGCTGCGGTCTGCCATGGAATGTCCCTCTTAGCTCTAGACCGATGGTGGCACTTCGACTCTAAGAAACTCTTCAATGAACTTATGCGGTCAACCTCTCTCCAATCGTTCCCGCATAACCACGAATGCGTGATCGCTGAACATGCAACAATGCTCCACAACTTCTTTTCGCCTTCACGGCTATTTGATCTATCAGTGTCGAGTTTGTCGTAACATAGAGTCCTTTCAAATTGATATCTTTTACCGCAGACTTGTCATCCCCATAAATTTGACACTACACATCATTCATGAGCAGTACTAACAGTCTACCCAACCATAAATTTACGCTACGGTTCCAAGAAGTATCAGTGCCCGCCATATTCTCTTACTTTGAATATGATACTATTCATACATACATAAAACATCGTCGAAAAGAAGATGAACACACCTATATCATACACTACGCCACACCGAAAACAAGATCACCTGTACAAGTACCCCCACAATAGTATACAAATCAAGAAATCCCAGTCCAAAACCTCCTCATGAAGGAAACAAAACCTCCCGATATCGACCAAGTACACCAAAGAAAAAACCCCGAACCCCAAACGCCATTCCTAGCAAAAAAGAGGCTTTTCCTTATCGTTAGCCGTAGCTGATGTTATCATCGTCTCATCCGCCGATTTGCGGTTTCCAAACCGACCACCGCGAAGCATCACCGCGGCCATCCTTCGTTCTTTCTTCAGATTAGCGGGCTCATCTTCCGTCATCGTGGCCGAGGACACAGATGAAGAGAGTGATGCCACCGAGCCGCGCGTGCGAAGCGGCGATTTGGGCGGGATGCTGGGGAGTCGGATGTTAGATAGCTTGGGCGCCGACGCCGCAGTAGCTTGCAGAAGGTTGATGATTTCGACGAGAGATTTGCGCCGACTGACCCGCCAGGCCGGCATGCCTTTTTCGTCTTTGGCTGGGATTGTTGTGTCCGATTCTTGGTCGGGTTCTTTTATCTTCGATTCGGTCTCTGTGTCGGTTTCTTCGGGGATGTCTTCGATCATCCGACTCCTGACTTCGGGCCCCTTGACGGTGTTTTTCCTTTGCGGTCTCTCGGGGATGCAGTGTGGTTGTCGGTCGTCTTTCTTGTCATGATCATCCCCTTTCTCTTCATCCTGTTCACCTTCCTCATCCTTGAAATCCCTTTCCACACCTTCAAAACCAGTGTCCCCCTCAACAGCAACAATAGTCTCCTCAGACACCTTCACTGGTGCCTCAACCACATTCCCCCCACAACCACCCCCACACCGAGACCCGGGTCTCCCCTCATCACCTTCATCCTTCTCCACAATCCGGATAGAAGGCTTTTTCACCAAATCGGGGTTCACCCCAGGGGGACACGAATAAGGGACGGGATCCTTAGGCGGCACAGCCGGCGGGGTATCACGATCATGTTTCTGCTTATGTCTCTGCCTCCGTCGACCCTGAAGGCAGGATCTGAACATCTTAGATAAGAAACTCATTGTTTCTTTTTTTCCGTTCCCCTCTTGTCCAGCTTTTTAAACTTCGTCTGGACTTGAACGACAGCGTTCGTGCCAGGCGATGAGGGGTCAATCGAGGGGTTTATAAGACTATCGATAAAGCGCTGTGTTTTGTTTGGGTTTGTTCGTTTTGGGCTATATTGATTGCGGGGGATGGAGGGTCCTTTTTTTGTTTTCTTTCCCTGAATACACCCCAGGTGGGGAATGTGATATAGGGATAGTCGAGGTGCGTTGGTTCTTGCAGGATGTTTACCTGACCTATGCAGTTGGGGATGTATACCAAATACGTTTTACCCCCGTTTGCATCGGATAGAAGAAGTAGTTTGTTTGGTGTGTAGTGAGTGAACCAGGGATGGTGGTCTCAGAGTAGAGGGAGGGGTTGTATGCCTTCGCCCTTGTTACTACTACCTAGCACTTTTTACTTTGGTTCCTGGTTCTTGGTTCCTGGATTCGGCTTTCTATGCTTATTGTGCAGTTCTTCTGGGGGTTGAGTTTGGATTAAAACGTAAGGAGGGCAGGGTAGCAGGTGGGATGGGATGTAAGGATGCAGTTCGTGTTAAGGCTGTTGTGTTACTAGCTACTCAGTAGTATCTGGGTGTTTTTTTTTTTAACTTCCGTGTGGGAAAGGATGGGCTTGATTGGTGAGTGTGGCGGTGTGTGGACGGGAGTTTGTCTACATGTGAGGTTATTATGGTGATTGCAGGGGCTGATCTTAATATTGATTTCATGTATGCTGGACTTTTGGGTGAGAGTAAGGGAGGTTGGAGGTTGTGAATGTTGTACAAACATGTAGTTATGTTGAATGTTGAGGTGTTTTGCGGGTTAGGGCTAATTTCTGAATCTTGGGGTCGGGCTCGTGAGAGTCCATTTACGTGCAGGGAACGTGTACGACTTCTGGGGATTTTTTTTTTTTTTAATCAATACTCCGACTTCGTGGGTGTCGGGGGTTATTTTTCTTTTTGTTGACTTTGTGGCTTTGTTTTTTTTTTTTTTTTTTTTTTCCTTTATTTTTTTGTGGGGGGCTGTGGCTTTCTGCTTATCTCAAGGAAACCCCCTTGTGCTGCAAGGGATGGCTCTACTATTTGTCATGCACGAACTGTCCATGTCATCAATGCATTGCCGTAGTATCACTAGTTCTATGCCTTACATACAAAAGCTCTGTGGCCAGTAACAAAAAAGTATCGAAGAAAATCTGTATGAACAAAATAAACAGCCACTTAGAGCTTGCTCTGCGGCGTTGCCGTGTACAACGACTGGTTCCGCTGCATTGATTCCAGGGCCTCTTTTTCAATGCGCTGGAGCAGCTGTGCACAGGTGGGAATATCGTGGATCAAACCGATAACCTGACCGGCGGTCCAGACCTAAAATGGAACGGTTAGCAAGGATTCGGCACGTTTCCCCGGGACTACTGAAGGGGGAGAGAGAGAGAGAGAGAGAGAGAGAGGGAAAGGCGAAGCAAGAAAAGGACACACATACTCCAAAATCGACGTCACCGTTCAAGAAGACCTCCCTACCCCTCTTGCCACTGACGAACGGGGCAACATCGCTGAACTCTCCAGACTTGCTTTCCTTCTCCACCTTGAGCGCCTCCTTCGAGACCTTATTGGCGAACAGCCGGGTTGTGTTCTTCCACCGTCTCAGCACCAGAGCGGTGTCTGTCTCCTCGGCCTTCACGATGGCCTCCTTCACGTTGTGGTGGATGGGGGCCTCGATCGTGCACATGAACCGCGTGCCCATGTTGATACCTTCGGCGCCCAGTGACAGGGCGGCGGCCAGGCCATATCCGTCTGCAAATCCGCCCGATGCGATGAAGGGCACACCCAGATCCTGACGGGCGCGGTTGAGAAGGATGAAGTTGGTAATGTCGTGTTCGCCGACGTGGCCAGCACACTCGAAACCGTCGATGGACAGGAAGTCAACGCCCAGCTTGACGGCTGATTTGGCGTGACGGATGGTCGTGCACTTGTGTAGGATAGTGGTGTTGGCCTTCTTCAGCTGGGTAATCACCGGACCGGGGTTGTTTCCGGCCGTCTCGACAATCTTGACACCCTCATCGATGATCACCTGGGCGTAGGCAGCGTAGTCTGGGGGCACGAGGGCAGGGAGGAGAGTCAGGTTGACACCGAAGGGCTTCTTGGTCATGGAACGACATTTCCGGATCTCTTTGCGGAGGTCTTCAGGGGTTGGTTGGGTGAGGGCAGTGAGCTGGATCGTAAGCGATACTGTCTTTATTTTGCTTTTGCATGTGATCTGATACGTACGATTCCAAGGCCGCCAGCGTTGCTGACCGCTGCTGCGAGTTCAGCGTATCCAACCCATTGCATACCACCCTGGACGACAGGAACTGTGGGCGATTAGTTAGGCACCATCAATATATCCGGGGAGTAAATCTAGGTACCTGTGATGCCTAGCTTTCTTGTTAGTGCAGTGTTGAAGCCCATCTTGTTCCTGTTCTAAACTGTATGTAACCGAGATTGAGCGTATGTACTTCTAGATAGCGGCCAATTCGACGGTGGCTCCAATAACTGATATGAACAGAAAATGTATAATCTATCGATGAAGGGTATCACGAACAACAGGCTATTAAAAGAGTGGCCTTTGGATCAGCAAAAGGAATGCGACTCCTTTGTACCCGCGGAGATTCTGCCGTGGGGAAGAGTTACCGAGGTTCGTGGCCGACCGACGGTCGGGTCGGCCAGATTACTATTCAGGACGGCCCTGGGGTAGAACAAAGAGTGCGGGGGGAGTGCCGCAAGTTGATAGCTGGGGAAATAATTCCTTAATGACCGATGACATGGCAGCATATTTGCATAAAATAGAGATCATTGCAAAATTCGTTCCCATTTGCATTGCATGCTAGGTTGTGACCAATGTCATCTCCGCATGTGATACGCGGTGATTTTTATAAATGATAATACGTAGCACATGATTCCCCTTCGCCACAAGCCCCATGACCAGTCATTCTCTCTACGGCTGGCGAACAAAGTGCTTGTATCTACTAGAACAGATCTCTAACATCAAATGGACACCCGTAACCCCGAAAAATATGTATATAGATTCCTTTATGGCTAGAGGAATTAAAACGCCGTCAATGCATATAGGTATAAGCGAATATAACCAAAAATACCCTAACTCTTTTATTTTGCTCCCATTTGGCTGGCCAGCCACTGCTCATGCAGCTTCTTCTGTCTCTCCCAGTCTTTCCGAAGCTTCTTAGCCCGGCTCTTAGCGATCTCCTCGCCGGCCGCATCGCGGGTGGGGAGACCCTCGTCATCCCACGCGCTATACTCATTTGTCCGGAACATCTCCAGGTGGCTGAGCTTGCCCTTCTGCAACCTTTCCAAGGCCTCCTTTTCCTTCTTCTCCTTTTCGAGCTGCTTTTGCTGTGTTCGCTTGGCCTTCTCTTCCCGAGCCTGGATCAACTCACGAGTCACCGGGCGAACGAGTGCAGGCAAGTTGTCTCGATCTTCGAGATACACGCCGACTTCGAACAAATCGATATCGCGAACACGATCGCAGAGTGCCAACACCTCCTTGCTAATGCTATTCGATTCCTCGAGTGACGACAATTTGTTGCGGAAATTGCTCAAGACGTCGGCATAAGGCTTCGTTGACTCGGTGACTTCTTGGTCAGGAAGAGCTTCACGATCGACGATCTCAGCAATGACCTTGGCGTTGACTCCTTCCTTCGCCCGTGCGGCTTGTCGCAGAGAGTCACGCATGGATGACAATGGGTGGAGGAAGGGCTTGGCCTCTTCGGGGACGTCAATACCAGACCATCCAATTTCTTGGCTGTCGGCAGCAGCGTTGCCATTGAGGCCAAAGATATTGACCATGGAGGTCACCCACCGGGCCACAGCCTCAACGTCCTTGGGTTTCACAGTCGACTTGTCGGCGCTGTTGTATTTCGTGATAAGCTCAGAGATGGCATACATGGCTCCCGGGGTGTTGAACGAGTCGCACAGGTGCTCATACACAGCCTTCTGGGCATCTGCCAAAGCAGTGGCGAGAGTATCATCCGTACCGGAGCCTTGCAGGGCAGCAGGGTCCTTCATCTTGATGAAAAAATTGTTCACCTTCTCCTCCCACGAGCTACCAGCGCTGACAAGGTCATCGGTGATTTCAACACCATCCTTCCAGCCGCCCAGCAGGAACACAATTCTCAAGCTCCGTGGGGTCCACTCCTTCCTTTCCAATGCCTCACGAATGGTAGTGAAGTTCTTAAGAGATTTTGACATCTTAGAGCCCTGAATGGACAGGTGTCCCATGTGGAAGAAATAGTTGACCCACTGTTCGTCGTGTGAATGGTTATGGCTGTCCGCCCAGTATGCCTCGCTTTGCGCAAGTTCGTTGTCATGGTGAGGGAACGCAAGGTCGACACCACCCGAATGGATGTCCATCTGCTTGCCTAACCGTGCGGAAGCCATGGCAGAGCATTCAATATGCCATCCGGGTCTTCCTCGACCCCAGGAACTCGCCCAGCTGGGCTCACCAGGCTTCGAAGCCTTCCAAAGTGCGAAATCAGATGCAGATCGCTTATCTGTAGCCTTCTTTGTCAAGGAGCCTTCTCCTTCAGCCAAAAGCTTGCTATCCGAACGGTTCCAGGGCTCCAGCCGGGCGTATGGGTGGCCAGCAGCCTCGAAAGCTTCAATATCAAAGTAGACAGAGCCATCATCCGTAACGTAGCCGAATTTATTCTTCACGATTTTCTCCACGAAATCAGCAATCTCTGCACCATACTCAGTTACCCGAGTAACTTCGTTGGGGTCGAGGACATTCAGATCCCGCATATCCTTCATGAACCGCTCCTCATATCTCTTGGTCAACTTGGTGAATATGCCATGGTCGTCTGCATTGATCGAGGTTCCCCTCAATGAATCCAGGTACGGCAGAAGGAGATCTTGAGCTTCCGTGTAGAACTTCTCCGCAAAGCCCTTAGGCTGCTCGCCAGAGCCTTCCGCCTCCGCGATCACCTTTGCTGC